TCACTCTGTTCTCAATAAAGGTTGCTGTTTTGCATACCCGCTTGTCGCGTCCCTTCCCTTCGCTCCAAGATGCAAAATACATGTTTGACAAACAAATAAATGAAAGGCTTAATTCCATTGCAGAACTCAGAAGATTGACTCTGCAGGCTAAAATGAGTAGGAGGAATCAGCTAGGATAGATTTCAGTCCGTGCCTATAACTTGATACTTTTTTCCTCATGATTAAGCGAGGCATTATTTTTAGAGGAAGAAGTAGGCTGCTCATTTACATTTGTTAGGTGCAGCCAGAACAAACAGCTGAGGTTATGGTCCTCCGTCCCAAAAATCATGTGATGATCATGATGTGAAAGATATCCCAAATATAAGAAATATGAAACACTTCCTTTAATTCTTTTCCACCTACCACTCCTTAGACACAGGGAAAACGTTGGGCAAAAACCTTCTGTAAGCCGAATGTAAACAACCTAAAACTACTTTCATTCATTCCTCCGAAGGATGTTATGCTGCTTCTCTTTAATCCATGCGTTGTATTATTTGGCAGGCTTCCAGTCTCTACCAAAACAAAACAAAAACAAACCATGACTAGTCATCTGACTTCATTCAGGAAGTGAATTAGAGAGGTTACTTTCTGCTCCAGTCTATGTATCTAACCACCGTTAGTCCTCCGTTTATGGCCATTTGTTCAGCAACCGTTACAAAGGTGCTGAACGCAGGATATATGACCAGTCCTTGAACTTTCAGCCATTGCAGTGTCGCTGATCATCAATTGTGGTCTTCCCAGCTGGCTTCCCACAATCAAAGTTTGGCCTTTCTTCGCTTCCACACACGGACACACATACCCCACACCCTCTTTCCCTTCCTTGAGCTCCCACACCAAAGAAAGGCACCTTCCGGTTCGGCCCGGATCAGGTGAACCGGTAGTAGCGGCAGCGGGAGGCTCCACCCACCTGCCCAGATGCTTCTGCGCACGCAAGCCTGTGCATGAGTCCACCTGAACCGGTAGTAAAAAAATTGGCAACCCACCACAGTCCCACATGTGAACCTTGAACCCTCTACTCCTAGCCTCTCTGAACTTGTGCCACACGGCACACCACCCTAATTCATCAGCATCTTGGGTTATAACCATAACTGGGACTGGGTTGCCTTTGGTCACATGACATTGCACTCTACAACGGCATCACTTAATGATGGCAATCCCAGTCCCAATTGCTTCAGTAGCTGGAGGACCATCTGTATCTATTTTCGAGAGCGTCCAGCTGCTCAAAGATGATATAAGCTCCAAAATCAAGCCTTGTTTTTCAACCTAAACACTCATAAGATGCCTGATGGTCTATTTATAATTGCTTTCTTTACCTGTGACCAGGAGTGGGGAGACGGTTAGAACTTGTCCCTTGTGATTTCATGAAGTTCTATGACAAAGACTTTCCTTGACTGGTCTTCAGATTGAAAGTTCTGCAGAGAGTAGTTCTCAGTCTTCTTCACTGTGACCTTTCTTCCTTTGGGGGAATGGTCATGGAAGATGCCCATTCTCATGAGCTGCTCATGTTTGGATCTGGTATTGCTGAACCTTTGGATCTTTAAAAAAAGTTTGATTTTAGATCAGAAGCGCTTATTTGGAGCTGTTGTGAATGCAACGTCCATTTATGTGACACTGTTGCACACTTATCAAAGAATACACCAAACATTTATCAGTATTACTTTTGATCTGGTGAATATAGATTCAAACTGGAACATTTAGTATGAACAATGAAAAATATTTATCCTGGTTTATTGAGATGGAAGTTATTTGATTCTTCAGAGCAGAATCTGGCTTTCCCTACTTTTACTGATCAATCCCGAAGTTCTAAGGATTTTTAGTCTTCTGATTTGGTGAGAAAAATGTATGCATGTCAAGTTGTTTGAATCAAATGTGTAAACATGTTCCTCATTCATTATATATGGGACTCTTGCTCAGCACTTTTATTTAAAGGGCAAGGTTGACATGTTGGGTTTGATGAAATGCTGATTGTGGTAGGGCAGTGTTGGCGAACCTTTTTGGCACTGGGTGCCGAAATGGGAGCGTGCACGCATGCCGGAAACCGGAAGAGCAGTCCCTTGGTGCTCATGTGCACGCCAGGAAGATGATCTTCCAGTTGCAGGCGCACGCATGAGCACCAGAAACCAGAACACCAGGTGGCCAGGATGCTTACATGCATTGGAAACCGGAATATCACCTTCCCGGTGCATGCATGCGCCCTGGGGTGGCTGGTCTTCCGGTGCTCCTGTGTGTGTGAATACCAGCTGGCCAGCACACCGGAACTCAAAAGAGCAACAGACGGCAGCTCATGTGCCCAGAGAGATGGCCCTGTGTGCCACTTCCGGCATGTGTGCCATAGGTTCACCATCACGGTGGTAGGGTGTTTAAGCTCTTTGAGTTTTTGTTCAGCAGATTATAGATGTCTTATCAAGAATTGACGGCAATCATGATTTCAACAATTTGTTTGTCTTTTCCCTTCCTCTCTTTCACACAGCAGAGCAGCAAAAAAGGCTTAGTAGCCTTGCAGGTATGATGCCCCAAATATTGTTATGCTGTTTCCAGCTGTTGTCGTTTCTACTGCTGTATTCAGCCAAGTGCTTTTTATCTAATAGAGTATCATTAGTGAATCTGTAAAACAAGAGCTGCAATTCAGGGGTAGAGGAATTGCACTTGGTTCAGCAACTGTGACATTTTTATGCTACTTCTCTCTGGAATTCTACAAGACAATCTTGGAAAAAGAAGAGACCTGGGCAGAGGTGGGCTACTGCCAGTTCAGACCGGTTTGGGCGAACCGGTAGTTCCGACCAGCGGCTGCGCCTGCCCACCCACCCTGGCACGATTCCATCCTATATAATTGTCATATGTTTGCTGCTGTGTGCATATGCTGAAGGTGCGCGCACGAGCAAAGTGAGTGCGCACATGTACTCACATTTTTGTGTTTTTGGCGAACTGGTTGTTATAGTATGTGACGGCCACCTCTGGACCTGGCCCACTATTTTAGAAGAGCTTGAAATGTCCCCCTTATATCAAAGCCACAGACTGTGAAATGTCAGTGAAGGGTCCTCGTTTGTAAAGGTAAAGGTACCCCTGCACATATGTGCTAGTCGTTCCCGACTCTAGGGGGTGGTGCGCATCTCCATTTGTAACCCAAAGATCCAGTGCTCTCTGAAGACGTCTCCATAGTCATGTGGCCGGCATGACTCAATGCACGAAGGGCGCACAAAGCACTGTTACCTTCCCACCAAAGTGGCCTCTATTTTTCTACTTGCATTTTTTACGTGCTTTCGAACTGCTAGATTAGCAGAAGCTGGGGCAAGTAACGGGAGCTCACTCCCTTATACGGCGCTAAGGATTTGAACCACTGAACTGCTGACCTTCTGATTGACAAGCTCAGTGTCTTAGCCACTGAGCCACCGCGTCCCTTATTTGTTATCTTTGTTTGTACCTAATGATTATGCAGATTTTTGCAGCCCAGTTCTGATAGCCAAAGCCCCAGTTTTGCCAGAACGACAAGTCTGATACTTTGCTCCATTAGCATACAACATTTTAAAATAATCAAGAATTTAATTTTAAGGTCATATTCAAAAGCAGGTGGAATCAATCTTTATTGATTTAAAATGTTTATTAGCTGTTATTGAGGGGAAATAGTCCAGGACAATACATAAAAGTAGGTTAGACCATTCAGCTAATTAGCTCTGGGATGGATTTGCTCATGATACTCTGGGATAAATGCAGATTATATTGCATGAAACATGACTGCATACATTTCATTTCCATTTAGAAATTGTTCTTGAACTCGCTGTGCATGTTCTTAAGCATGAGTATGTCCCCCCTCCCCAGTGCATGCTACATTGCCTTATCACTGTTTGCTGAAACTTGATACATTTTGGATGAGTCAGCTTATGATCCTTCTCCCTTCCGGAAATCTTTCCGGAGAATCTGGTAGCGGTGGAGCTTAAAGGCTGCTGTATTGTAATAACGGTTATATTAGAATAATTAACTATGATTCTGTTGCTATGCGATGTTTGTTGACCTGAAAAACCAATGAATTGAGGACCCAAAGTTTAAAATAATATATCCTGCAAAGTATTTAGAATGCACTGTTAAAGGAAATGTAGAACACTTTTCTAAAATTCCTTCTTTATTCAGTCCTATTGAAAATATAAACTCTTTAAACCAATGAGATACTTCATTTATTATTTCCCCCAGGTTCTGATGTTAAATATTTTATATAGCAGTGGTGAAAGCCCAAGTGATCGCTGCTTTTCTTTTCAGATTCAGTGCCTGATCCCCCAGTCGTTGAGAAAGTAGTTGGTGTTTCTCTTCGACCGAAGTTAAATCCAAGCAAGGAAGATGCAGTAGAGGAGCAGAAGCGAATTGTGAACAATTCTCAACCTATGGATGATGATTCTTTGGATTCCATAGGCATTCCACTAAGAGTAAGGAAATATTTTCCCTGTTGCATCAATTCATTCCTGATCGTCTTCTTTTTTTTCTTGTTACAGTCAATTTTCAGTGTATAAATTGTTTTGTTAGATTTGTCATGATGCAAACCCATTTAGCGTTGCTATGTTTTTATGAACAGTGAAGTAGGTACATGAAGTAAAACAATCCTGTCTTTAACAAAAATTTCCTGAAGTTTCAAACTTTGGAATCGGAATTAAAGAAGATCCGTTTGTCAAATACCGTATTTTTCGGACTGTAAGACACACCGGTGTATAAGGTGCACCAAGATTTCAAAGAGGTAAGTAAGACAAAAAAGGTTTTGACCTCCCTAGCCCCCAGAAGCACTCTGCAGGCTTCATCAGGGCTGGGGGAAGGCAAAAACTCCCCTGTTTTTGCAAAAAATGGGCGGAAAATGGGCCATTTTTTGCAAAAATGGGATACGGGGGCGGGGCTTCAAGAGGCCAAAAATGGCAGTATTCAGTTTATAAGACACACCAAAATTTCCACGCTCTCTTAGGACTCTTATACTCTGAAAAATACGGTATGTGTTAAAAAGATATGCATGCAATTGGGTTTTTTTTTTGTTTGTATTGCATATATTTTCTGATAGTGTCTCACTATATTCCAGAAGGAAGCAATTTCCCTGTCTTTGATTGCAGTTGGAGATTGCCCTCTTTCTTATTAGGCCTCTGAGGACAACATGCTCTCGTCAAAAGCATGGTCACCAACTGGTGGTCTGTGAGAAAATTTTAGTGGTCCGCAGAAAAATTATGTGCATATTGCACTAAATCAGGGGTCCTCAAACTATGGCCCCTGGGCTGGATTCATGCAATGAACATTTGTGTTGCTGCACAGAGTCTCCCCTTTGGGGTCTTTTTGTGCAGGTTGGAGGGGGGCAGAAATTCTGACTTGGGGTCTGCTTTGGACTCCTTGTGTGGGGCTTTGGGCAAAGGCTGGAGGGAAGTCCCGCTGGTAGCAAGGGTCCAGAGGGCCTTGTTCCAGTGGGATTGCATCATGGCCTGGAACTGGCTGACCATCTCAGCTGGCTGAGCCTCCAGGCAACAGTACCTGGCCTTGCACTCCCGCAGGTCTTCCCTTTGCTTGGAAAGCCTATGCTTGTAGTCCTGAGGTGCTTCTGCTGAGCCTCCTTCTCGGTAAGATCCAATTTGAACTGAGCCAGCTGTTTTGCCAACTTTCTCATGGTGGCTGCTTAGCTCCAACAACTGCTTCCTGTTGGGGCCCTAAGGAACCTGGGCAGGCAGGCGAGGAGTGGCTGGGAGGGGAGGGGTGAGTAGAGGCCGGCAAGACGCCCCTCGATGAGAG